ATGTGTGTATATGTGTGCATTTATGAAGGGTAGTATTCGGTTCTTAGATTTTGATATTTTCCCAAATAAGTGGATGCCAGGAGAGGAGTCATTAAATGGCAAATATATCTTGTTTTTCAATAAAATACATTAAAGCTTTACCACTATCTTAATGAGACTGTCAGTTTGGGTGGAATGATATTTTTATTATTATTATTTTTAGAGAGGGAGAGAGAGCATGCGAGTGGGGGAGAGGGGCAGAGAGAGAGAGAGAGAGAGAGAATCCCAAACAGGCTTCACACTCAGCATGGAGCCCGAGGTGGGGCTTGATCCCATGACCCTGGGATCGGGACCTGAACGGAAATCAAGAGTCAGATGCTCAACTGACCGAGCCACCCAGGTGCCCCTGAAATGCTATTTTTATGGAAATTCAAACAATTTTCATTCCTGGTAAGAAATAAGAAGGAAAACATACTGAATAGAGTCTCTTCCTTCCTTCCTTCCTTCCTTCCTTCCTTCCTTCCTTCCTTCCTTCCTTCCTTCCTTCCTTCCTTTTCCTTTCCTTCTCCTTTTTGCAAGATTTAAATAGACTTTATTGTTACAAGGACGGCTCTACTGAGCAGGACCTTATAAACCAATATATGTGGTCCCAGGATGTCACCATGGAGAAATCGAGAAGTCATGAAGGGGTCACTGAAGACCCCTGAAGGGGGTCATAGAAGAGGTCACTGTAATTGAAGGACATGATCCAAGGAAGGCCAACCAGGAATGCAACATACATGATCAGAACAGGTGATCAGGACAGCTTCCTTCACTCTTGCTTCTTATAGCTCTCCAGATGTGACAGGACGCAGACCCATGGCAGAAGGAAACACAAGAAGCAGGAGGTGAGCCCAATGGTGATATCCATGTTCCCGAGCTGCTTCCGTGGCAGCTTGGAATGGATCTGGGCACAGAGCACCAGAAGCTGCCAGGATAGGCCTGTCAGGCCCCTCAGCAGCAGCGGTGTCAGCATGGACATGACCGCACAGAATGACTGCAGACAGTGGCCGGCAGGAGCCCAAGGTCAGGAACCATTTCTTTATTTAAAAGTTCCTGCTCTGTGCCAGCCACTGGGATACATTCAAATATGAATAAGCCATGGCCCTCGCTTGTAAGCATCTTAGAAATAATTTTTAAAATGCTAAAAGAGTCAAGAGAAGGAAACAATCACTCATAATGTGATCATCAGGGAATGCAACAAGGAAGAAGTAAGACTTGAATTGGACTTTATATTGAAATGGACACATTTAATGTAAAAACACAGTAATAGGAAGATGTAAGGTTTGGCTGAAGTAGAAACCATATATGTGTGAAAAGTGGGTGATAAATTAAAAAGTCAGAAGTAGCATAAGCTGGAAAGTCAGAGCCTCAAGGCCTCTCTTACTCATGCAGTTTTTCCTTGATTGGACAGGCTCTAAAGCTCCCAGGGTCATCGCCATAAAATTTTGTCCAGCTCAGACAGGTGAAAGAACCTGTGGTCTTTGGCACGAGCTGAGTGAGTGGAATATATAAGGGTAAGAAGAGGGCAAGTAAGAAGAGTATCTGCATGGAAGAGGGCACCTGATCTGGGGCTAGTTAATAAACATATTGGAGCCTAGAGTCCTGAAAACTAGAAATGGGGCATGAGATTAGAGGCAAAAGAAACACAAACTTTCACAGTACCACTCATAAATGCAAGCAGCAAAGAAGATAGTGTAAGGGGAAATGGAAAAACCATGGTCCACGGTTCTGGCTTTGCTGGAATTTCCTGCATGACTCTGGGAAGGCCATTGCTCCTGTCTTGGCTTTAGTTTCCCCATATGTGAAAGGAAAAAGGTTTTTTTTTAATGTATATGAAAATGTTTTTAATAGTTGTCTGGTATTTTTGAAGACAGGTGAGGGATAGAAAAAAAGGAGTAGCGATTGTTTCACTTTGATTAAATAAGTGTGGGGGAAAACTGACTCAAAGCCTGAGAAAGCACTGCAACCAGGTGGGGTCTCTGACCTTGGTAGTATGAATCTGTGAGCCTTCTTCCTAGATTGTTTCAATTACTGTGGCTCAACTGCTAAGACCTCCTAGTCTCTGTGACTCTCTCTTCTAAATTTTAAATTCGGGAGAGCCAGAGTCTGATTAGTTAAGCTTGAAAGTGAATGCCACTGTGGTAGAGTTTAGCATGGCTCCTAGAAGCCAACTACCTCAACTGAGGGAGTCACTGGAAAATCCATGCAGTCCCAAAGATACCCTCTCTAATAGAAAGCAGGAAACAGAGTTTATGGCAGAAGCTCCAAGAAGAGAGCTGCACCTCTTTCATACCTGATGATGGGAATTCCTTTAAAGTTTTTGGTTTGCCAGCAGAGATTCTTAACATGCAATCTATAGAGTTCACGATCAGCAGTTAGGATGCATTTTAAATCAAAGTTCTCTCTGCGAACTTGATTAATAGTGCCAGCCAGGGGTGAGATAAAATGGGGAAGTGCAAAAGTTGCCTGTTCAGCATAACAGATTATCTCAAATATGCTGAGAAGAATAGTAGGAAAGGGGAGTTAATGAATCATCGCCATCTAAAAATCATGTTGGTTCTAAAATATAGATTTTGTTTATCTTTGAGATTGCTGTTTCCTGGAGGTCTTTAAAAATAACTTAAAAGCCTATAGAAAATATCCTGTTCTTAATTAAGCAGGGAAATGCACTCCTCAGATGGTAGTTAGCAGTGCAGGTTCTATGATCTTAGAACTGTTCAAGCTTGGCTCTTTAATGTGCTAAATGTTGAACCTTTGTCAGGTATCTTTTTTTTTAATTTTATTTTTTATTTTTTAAAATTTACATCCAAATTAGCATATATAGCATATAGTGAAACAATATATAGTTAGCATATATAGCATATAGTGAAACAATGATTTCAATGATTCCTTAATGCCCCTTACCCATTTAGCCCATCCCCCCTCCCACAATCCCTCCAGTAACCCTCTGTTTGTTCTCCATATTTAAGAGTCTATTATGTTTTGTCCCCCTCCCTGTTTTTATATTATTTTTGTTTCCCTTCCCTTATGTTCATCTATTTTGTCTCTTAAAGTCCTCATATGAGTGAAGTCATATGATATTTGTCTTTCTCTGACTAATTTCAGTTAGCATAATACCCTCCAGTCCCATCCACGTAGTTGCAAATGGCAAGATTTCATTCTTTTTGATTGCCAAGTAATACTCTATATATATACACCACATATTCTATATCCATTCATCCATCAATGGACATTTGGGCTCTTTCCATACTTTGGCTATTGTTGATAGTGCCGCTATAAACATGCGGGTGCATGTGTCCTTTGGAAACAGCACACCTGTATCCCTTGGATAAATGCCTAGTAGTGCAATTGCTCAGTCGTAGGGTAGTTCTATTTTTAGTTTTTTGAGGAACCTCCATACTGTTTTCCAGAGTGGCTGCACCTGGTTGCATTCCCAAAAGGAAAAAGTTTATTCAGTAATCATTAAAATACCTTCCAGTTTTGACATTGTATGTTGGGTACTTGGAGACCAGAGTTGTGATGAAGGCTGAGCTTGTCTACAATGGGAGTAAAGGAGTGAGCCAGAGCAGCCCAGAAAGCCCCGGTGCCTGCCTAAAATCCATTTTGTAGAGGACAAAGCCTTCCATTCTTTTGTCATATAAAGCTAATGTCAGAAAAATCTTTCCTGAAACTCTGAAGGGTGGGATAAGTCCATAACATGGGGGCCTGTGTAACTCAATGGGCAGGGAGCAGCACAGAGAGGCCCAGAATGAAAGTGTTTGTGCACTTAAGTCAAACATCAAGTTAACAGTCTAGCTTTGGTCCTTTCTGTGATCCAATCAATCCCTCTATTCATTATAGCAAGTCAGTGGAGAGTTATCTGACTTCAACATGATTCCCAGAGGCAGGTGGACCTGGTATACCATCTAGTATCACAGGGTCAGCCCTACATATAGAAGGAATAGGTAGCCACATGTACAACACCTATATTTGGAATTTCACCTTCATCAGGATTTGCCAAAATGCAAATATTTTGGGGCTTCCTGGCTGACTCGGTCATGTAGAGCATGTGACTCTTGATCTCATGGTCATGAGTTTGAGCCCCACATTGGGTATAGAGCTTACTTTTTTTTAAATATGAAATTTATTGTCAAATTGGTTTCCATACAACATCCAGTGCTCATCCCAACAGGTGCCCTCCTCAATGCCCATCACCCACCCTCCCCTCCCTCCCACCCCCCATTAGCCCTCAGTTTATTCTCAGTTTTTAAGAGTCTCTTATGGTTTGGCTCTATCCTTCTCTAACTTCTTTTTCCTTCCCCTCCTCCATGGTCTTCTGTTAAGTTTCTCAGGTTCCACATAAGAGTGAAAACATGTGGTATCAGTCTTTCTCTGTGTGACTTATTTCACTTAGCATAACACTCTCCAGTTCCTTCCATATTGCTACAAAAGGCCATATTTCATTCTTTCTCATTGCCAAGTAGTATTCCGTTGTGTATATAAACCACAATTTCTTTATCCATTCATCAGTTGTTGGACATTTAGGCTCTTTCCATAATTTGGCTATTGTTGAAAGTGCTGCTATAAACATTGGGGTACAAGTGACCTATGCTTCAAAAAATTAAAAATAGATCTACCCTATGACCCAGCAACAGAACTTACTTTTTAAAAAGTTACAAAATACAAATATTTTATCTGAGAGTTGTGGACAAACTTATTAACTTATGATTGCTTAGTCATCAAAATCTTAGCTCTATTCCAGTTATCTGACTTGGCTGGATGAAATGGTGCAGAAAGGGTGGGTACAATTTGATAGAGGAGATGGGGCTGAAGAAATGTCTGAAAGGTTCTGGAACATGGGACATTGGCTGTGTTCGATAGTATGCCAGAGTGCAAAATGGCATGAGGGAGGGGAGGGTTCCCTGTCCTCCTGAAAAAAAGGATGTACTTATTTATTTTTTGTGTAACATTATAGTTAATTTTATGGACTGTCTTCCCAGCTGAGCTGTGAGTGACTTGAGGTTCTAGTATGCTCATGGCTATTTCCACCAAGTGTCTAATCTGTTATCTCAAATTTCTGCTACTGAATTAGGAGGTAAGTTTCTAAGATCCAGATCTGAATGCCTTTCATGGACAAAGAAGCTTGTATTTTATCTTCTAAGCAGGCTTAGAAATGGCTACTTCGCTTACTAGGGGGTGCTTTTTACCTTCTCCTCTCTGTCAGATTTTAACTTCCTGACGACTTCTCATTCATCTATGATCTGAATTAAGATATTAAGATAGGACTAGAAAGGAAAGGATGACCAGAAGAAAAGTTAGCAACTTCTTACCTGGTCTCTCTACTTGTAGTCTATCATTTTATTTAAATATTTACTTATTTTTAAAATTCCAGTATAATTAATGTATAGTGTTATATTAGTTTCAAGTGTACAATATAGTGATTCAATAATTCCAGACATAACTCAGTGCTCATCACGATAAGTATACTCTCAATCTCCTTCACCTGTTTCATCCACCCACCCCTTTCCTCTGGCAACCACTAGTTTGTTCTCTATATTTAGGAGTCTGGTTTTTTTTAAGTTACTTATAATTTAGTTAGTTAATATACATGGCAATATTGGTTTAAGAAGTAGAATTCAGTGATTCATCACTTACATACAACACTCAGTGCTCATAACTAGTGTCTTTCTTAATACCCATCACCCATCTAGCCCATCTCCTACCCACCTCTCTCCATCAACCCTCAGTTTGTTTTCTATCATTAAGAGTCTCTTGTGGTTTGTGTCCCTTTCTTCTCTTCCCCCTTCTTAAATTCCATGTATGAGTGAAATTATATATTTGTCTTTCTCTGATTGACTTATTTCACTTAGCATAATACATTCTAGCTCCATCCACATCATTGCAAATGGCAACATTCCATTTTTTTGATGGCTGAGTAATATTCCATTGTATGTATATACCATATCTTCATCCATTCATCAGATGATGGATATTTGGGCTCTCTCCATGGTTTGGCTATTGTTGATAATGCTGCAATAAACATTAGGGTGCATTACCCCTTCCAATCTGTATTTTTGTATACTTTGGGTAAATACCTAATAGTGCAATTGCTGGATCGTAGAGTACTTCTATTTTTAGTTTTTTGAGGAACCTCCATACTGTTCTCTAGAGCGGCTGCACCAGTTTGCATTCCCACCAACAGTGCAAAAGGATTCCCCTTTCTCTACATCCTCACCAACAACACCTGTTGTTTCTTGTGTTCATAATTTAAGCCATTCTGACAGATGTGAGGTGGTATCCCATTGTGGTTTTGATTTGTATTTCCCTAATGATGAGTGATGTTGAGCATTTTTTCATGTCTCTGTTAGCCATCTGGATGTCTTTGGAAAAGTATCTATTCATGTCTTCTGCCCATTTCTTTTTTTTTTCTTTTATTTCAACTTTTTTTTTTTGCTGTTTCCCAACCCCCGCCCCCCATGTTACATCCAAGTTAGCCAGCACACAGTGCAACAATGATTTCAGGAGTAGACCCCCCAATGTCCCCACCCATTCAGCCCATCCCCCCTCCCACAACCCCTCCAGTAACCCTCTGTTTGTTCTCCATATTTAAGAGTCTCTTATGTTTCAGGCACCTGGGTTGTTCAGTCAGTTGAATGTCCGACTTCAGCTCAGGTCATGATCTCACAGTCTGTGAGTTCGAACCCCGCATTGGGCTCTGTGCTGACAGCTCAGAGCCTGGAGCCTGCTTCAGAATCTGTGACTCCCTCTCTCTCTCTTTCCCTCCCCTGCTCACAGTCTGTCTCTGTCTCTCTCTCAAAAATAAACATTAAAAAAAGAGTCTCTTATGTTTTGTTCCCCTCCCTGTTTTTATATTGTTTTTGCTTCCCTTCCCTTTCTCTGACTAATTTTGTCTTTCTCTGACTGACTAATTTTGCTTAGCATAATACCCTCTAGTTCCATCCACATAGTTACAAATGGAAAGATTTCATTCTTTTTGATTGCCGAGTAATACTCCATTGTGTATGTGTGTGTATCACATCTTCTTTATCCACTCATCCATTGGTGGACATTTAGGCTCTTTCCATACTTTGGCTATTATTGATACTGCTGCTATAATCATGGGGGTGCATGTGTCTTCGAAACAGCACACCTTTATCCCATGGATAAATGCCTAGTAGTGCAATTGTTCAGTCGTAGGGTAGTTCTATTTTTAGTTTTATGAGGAACCTGCATACTGTTTTCCAAAGTGGCTGCACCAGCTTGCATTGCCACCAACAATGCAAAAGAGATCCTCTTTCTTCGCATCCTCGCCAACATCTGTTGTTGCCTGAGTTGTTAATGTTAGCCATTCTGACAGGTGTGAGGTGGTATCTCATCGTGGTTTTGATTTGTATTTCCCTGATGATGAGTGATGTTGATCATTTTTTCATGTGTCGGTTGGCCATCTGGATGTCTTCTTTGGAGAAGTGTCTATTCATGTCTTTTGCCCATTTCTTCACTGGATTATTTGTTTTTTGGGTGTTGAGTGTGATAAGTTCTTTATAGATTTTGGATACTAACCCTTTATCTGATATGTCATGTGCAAATATCTTCTCCCATTCTGTCGGTTGCCTTTTAGTTTTGCTAATTGTTTCCTTCACTGTGCAGAAGCTTTTTATCTTGATGAGGTCCCAGTCATTCATTTTTGCTTTTGTTTCCCTTGCCTCCGGAAACGTGTTGAGTAAGAAGTTGCTGTGGCCAAGATCAAAGAGGTTTTTGCCTGCTTTCTCCTCGAGGATTTTGATGGCTTCCTGTCTTACATTTAGGTATTTCATCCATTTTGAGTTTATTTTTGTGTATGGTGTAAGAAAGTGTTCCAGGTTCATTATTCTGTATGTCGCTGTCCAGTTTTCCCAGCACTGCTTGCTGAAGAGAGTGTCTTTATTCCATTGGATATTCTTTCCTGCTTTGTCAAAGATTAGTTAGCCATACATTTGTGGGTCCATTTCTGGGTTCTCTATTCTGTTCCATTGATCTGAGTGTCTGTTCTTGTGCCAGTACCATACTGTCTTGATGATTACAGCTTTGTAATACATCTTGAAGTCTGGAATTGTGATGCCTCCCGCTTTCTTTTCTTTTTCAAGATTGCTTTGGCTATTCGGGGTCTTTTCTGGTACCATAAAAATTTTAGGATTGTTCTAGTCCTGTCAAGAATGCTGGTGTTATTTTGATAGGGATTGCATTGAATGTGTAGATTGCTTTGGGTAGTATTGACATTTTAACAATATTTATTCTTCCTATCCAGGAACATGGAGTATTTTTCCTTTTTTTTTTTTTTTTTGGTTTCTTCTTCAATTTCTTTTATAAGCTTTTTATACTTTTCAGTGTATAGATTTTTCACTTTTTTGGTTAGATTTATTCCTAGGTATTTTATGGTTTTCAGTGCAATTGTAAATGTGATTGATTCCTTGATTTCTCTTTCTGTTGCTTCATTATTGGTGTATAGGAATGCAACCGATTTCTGTGCGTTGATTTTATATCCTGCAACTTTGCTGAATTCATGAATTAGTTCTAGCAGTTTTTTGGTGGGATCTTTTGGGTTTTCCATATAGAGTATCATGTCATCTGTGAAGAGTGAAAGTTTGACCTCCTCCTGGCCAATTTGGATGCCTTTTATTTCTTTGTGTTGTCTGATTGCTGAGGCTAAGGCTTCCAACACTATGTTGAATAACAGTTCTTCTGCCTATTTCTTAACTGGGCTGTTTGTTTTTGGGTGTTGAGTTTGTTAAGTTCTTTTTAGATTTTTGGATGCTAACCCTTTATAAGATATGTCATTTGCAAATATCTTCTATTCCGTAGGCTGCCTTCTAGTTTTGTTGATTGTTTCCTTTGCTGTGCAGAAAATTTTTAACTTAATGAAGTCCCAATAGTTCATGTTTGCTTTCATTTCCCTTGCCTTCTGTAATGTGTCTAGTAAGAAGTTGCTCCAGCCGAGGTCAAAGAGGTTTCTGCCTGTGTTCTCCTCTAGAATTTTGATGGTTTCCTGTCTCACATTTATGTCTTTGAATTGGAAAATTAAACACAGCAAGTATGTCAATTTTCTCCAACCAATCTATGAGTTTAATAACAATCCTGTCAATATTATAGCACATTTTGTAGACATAGACAAGATCATTCTAAAATTTATATGGGAAGACAAGCAAACCATATGTCTCACAGAGGACTAGAGTTGCTAAAATAATCTTGAGAAAGAAGAGATTACAAGTTAGTTCTACCTGATACAGGCCTACTATCTATTTAGAGTAATCAGAACAGCATGGTATTGACAGAGGGAGAGCCACATAGATTAGTGGAAGAGAATAGAGAACCCAGAAATACACACAAATATGTCCAACCGGTTTTTGTTGAAGTTGTAAAAGCTATTCACTGGAGTGAGGATAACCTTTTACACACATGGTGGTGGAACAATTGGACATAAATAGGCAAAAATGAACCTTTGCCTGAGTCTCATATCTTTTATAAAAATTAACTCAAATGGATCACAGAATTAATTGTAAAATGTAAAACTATATGACTTTTAGAAAAACATGGGGGAAAATCTTTGGGTTTTAGGGTGACGCAAAGGATCCATATATTTGACACCAAAAGTATGACCCATAAAAGGAAATACCAATGCCACATCAAAATTTAAAATTTTGCTCAGCAAAAGACTCTATAGAGAAGACAAGCTACAGATCAGGAGAAAATATATGCAAACCACATATCTCACAAAGAACTGGTATCTAGTAAATAAACACACCAAACATTAAATAGATAATGGGAAAAAATATGAAAAGACATTTCACTATGGTGGCTATATAGATGGCAAATAAGTCCATGTAAAGATGTTCAACATTATTAGCCAATTCTGAAAAACATATTAAACTACAACAAAATATCACTATACACCTTCCAGCTTGCTTAAAATGAAAAATAGTGACAGCAGCAGTTGCTTGTGAAGGGCCAGGGAAATTTGATCACTTATATATTGCAATTGGAATGTAAAATAGTAATCCACTCTGGAAAACCCTTTGGCAGCTTATAGACTACACATGCAAATATCACCTAGCAAATCCATTCTTGGGCATTTATTCCAGAGAAATGAAAACTCATGGTTACATAAAATCCTGTAAATGAATATTCATAACATCTTTATTCACAATAGCCCCAAAGTATAAACAATTCAGATGTATTTCAGTAGGTGAATGGCTAAACAAACTGTGATACATCCATAACATAGAATGCTATTATGCAATAAAAAAGAATGAAATATTGGTACATATGACAACTTGGATGAATTTCCACTGAATTATATTGAAAGGCCCAATCCCCAAAAGTTACATACTATATGATTCCATTTATATAACATTCTTGAAATGGCAAAATTTTAGATTAGTGGTTGTCAGAGCTCAGGATGTGTGTGGAGGGGGTGAGACAGGGAAGTGGCTAAGGATAGAAAAGGACAACAGAAGCAATTCTTCAAGGGATGGAAATGTTTTGTATTTTGACTATGTCAGCATCATTTTCTGGTTGCAATATTTTACCAAGTCTTGCAAGATATTACCATTGGATGAAACGGGGTAAATGGCACATGTTCTCTCTGTATGTCTCACAATTGCGTATCAATCAATCTATCATAATCTCAAAATAAAAAATTGACATGAAAAACTCATTTAACTCTTACTTATACTGAATTCTGGTTTTGCCTACTAGGTTTAGACCTCAGCCGGCATTCAGGGACTCGGAGTATCCTTACTCTTGCAAGTAAGGATATGTTTAATGAATGATACTTAAGAGCAGTGAAAAGATGGAGCAGGAAGTAAGTTGCCAAGGAAAGGTGCACAAGGCTTGAACAATGTGTACCTGTTTTTAAGGCTTGCAAATGGTTTTCGTTTTTCTTATTTTGAAAGTGGAAAAAGATTTCTGTGTGAGAGAGTATAAATTTGTCATGTTTCCAGGGAATTTATGCTTAAAGCCACTTGATTAATTAGAAAATACCCTTTTGGAGTACAACAAAATTTAAGTGGAACTGCATCGGAAGTGTTTTGCCTACTAGGTTTAGACCTGAGCTAGCATTCAGGGACTTGGAGTATCCTGTGATTAGGAGGCCAGTGCTAGAAATATGGTTATCTAAAGACAGGATTTTAAATGGATGGTAAACTCTGAAATCTGGAGTCCTAGGAGGTAGGAGAGAGGAGTCCCGGGCCACTATAGTGACATAGTCACCATGCTGTACATTAGATCCTCAGAACATATTCATCTAATAGCTGAAAGTTTGTAACCTAAGACCAACGTCTCCCCATTTTCCCCACCCCAGCCCCTGGCAACAGCCATTCTACTCTCTGTTTTAAAGTTTGACTTTTTTTTTTGATTCTACATATAAGTGATATCATACAATATTCTCTGGCTGACTTATTCTACACAGCATAATGCCCTACAGGTTCATCCATGCTATTGCAAATGTTAGGATTTCCTTCTTTTTTATGGCT